AGATCCAAAAAAACATCAAGGCAATTCCAACTCATAGTGGACCTCATTGGGTTTCTGAGGCAGTAAATCTTTATGGAAGTGGATTGCTCCATCTTCCTTCCATGGAGTGGTTGGTGGGTTTGAATTGCCAACCTTCCGGTTAGCAGTCAAATGCCTTAGGCACCGTGCCGCCACAGCTCCTTTTAGAAAAGATAGTGAAAATAAAAATTAAAAAAAATAAAAGTAAATGATATTAAATTGGCATGACCAAAGTAAGAACCCAGATTATAAGTGATCACCAAGTCAAGCCTCTCTCTATCAGACAAGGAAATAAACTTCTCCCACTAGATCTTGATGAGGTATGTGTGGTGGTTGCCATGTGACTTTTGGCTTTGGTGAATCATTTCACTGGTAGCTGTTGTATGATATTATGCTCCACCCATCAGAGAATCTAGCCTCATTTGAAAATTTATCAAAACCCAACGCCAGAATCCTGAACTAATCCCTCCCCCTCAGGGCCAACGTTCACTTGGCTGGATCACACCTTTCCACACTCCAGAATTCCTTTCTCAGTGGGAAAGGGCATCAGCCTCAGCTCCTGTTTCTCTGGATGCCTGGACATACTAACCAGAAACCAAACCTGTTTCCATCGAGTTGATTCTGACTCAGAGAGACCCTCTAGGACAGAGCAGAACTGCCCTATAGGGTTTCCACATTGCCACATCTTTCTCCCATGGAGTGGCTGGTGGGTTCGTTCAAACTGCTGACCTTTCAATTAGCAGCCCGGCACTTACCCACTGCACCAACAAGGGCTCTTTGGACATAGCAACAGTTATGATGAATTTACCTAATGGGACTTCTCTATCTTGGTTGGTGATGAAAGATACCTAAAATCTGGTGCCAGACTTTTTTCTGCTTTTCTGATGGGAGAACTATTAGATATCGCTAAAACATGGTAGAGAGCAGCCAATTATACTAATCTTTAAAAAAAAAATGTATGAATTCCTGTCACTCATGTTGATGATCTTCCAATCTTAAGGCTGAAAATGCCCTCCAAAGTTTATCCCAGTTAGCAACTTGGTACCTTTGGAAGTTCGCAGAAGGCCCTTATGTGTAAAAACTATTATAATGCCTGCCACTGCTTCAGTAGGCTTCAGGGATATGTACACCCCATTTTTTCTGATGACGTTAATGCTACGTCCAAAGGACGTAAGAAGAAAGAAAAAGTTACCCCTGTTGCTCTTTCTCAGCCTCAGGATTGTGAAGTTCAAAAGGCCCAGAGAGAAAATCTACCACCAATTGGGAGGAATAATCAGTGTTGAACACAGTTGCATGATTGACAGCCATCGATACTGTCAAGTGGCCAGAATAAATGAGCAGGCCTTAGGCAGCAGTCCCACTTTATGATCTCCATCTGGTCTCTTCCAAAGAAAAATGGAAGAAACAAGATTAAATAATAATATTAAGATGAATCATATAATACTGACAATATTCAACTAGTTTTTACCTATAAAATGGCAAGTTCGTATGACTTAATCTAATAATAGTAATAATAATAAAAGCTAACAATTACTGAGTACCAACTCTGTGCCAGGTACATCACAAACATTATCTCATTTAATGCATACATCATCCACACGAAGCAGGTACTATATTATCCCTGTTTTACAAACCAGGAAATGTTTTTGTTACAGATATGTTAAGTGAATTGCACTAAGTCACATACCTCAAAAGAAGAAGAGCCAAAATTCAAACCCAATTTAATATGATTCTACTGCTTCCTAAAATTACTTTTAAACTTGAAATTTCCATAAGTGCACTGAGGAATTAGCCCCATATTTGGGCTACAATATCAACATGTCTACCTATAGGGCTGCTATGAGTTGGAATAGCTCACCAGCAATGGGTCTGTTGGTTTGTTTTTTACCTGATTATCCTCAAAGCACAGTAGAAGAAAAGTGACCTCTCCTCATGGCTTCAATTAGATGTATTTTGAACCTACCACAGTGGGAGAAAGATGTGGAAGTCTGCTTCCATAAAGATTATAGCCTTGGAAACCCTTTGGAGCAGGTCTACTCTGTACTATAGGGTCACTATGAGTCCAAATTGACTCAATAGCAATGACTTTGGTTTTTGGTTTTATGGAGTTGACACCCAGAGGCACTTATGGATCTTTCCCTGAATTTCTCAAGGCTAAACTACCAAAATTCAGCAACAACAGTGTGAAAAGGGGAATTCAACCAGTTTCACTGCAAGAAGTACTGCAAGCTTCCGCTATTAAGATGCAATACTTCTGAGAAGCCTCAATTCTTCATTTAACATCTAAGCATTAATTAGCAGGAGAGTATTAGTGAGTACCTCAGCAGGAAAGGGGCATGGAAAGCAGATTAGCAAGTATCCCAGAAGAGGAAGAGCCTATTTCATCGTTATTTATTTGCATACATTATTTTCCACATCCCAGCAACCCAGGGGAGGGAGTAAGGCTACACTTCATGCAAGAGGAAACTAAGACTCAAGAGGTTAAGAAAGTTGCCCCAACTAGAACCTAGTTCTCCTGACTCTTCCTGCAT